GGCTCATGAAAAATTTACAAATAATTCATATATTATAAATAAGACGTAAAATGACACAATAACTTATAAAATACGTTTATAAAGTTTTATTAAGGAACAAAAATGATAAATATGTACATAAAGTAATAAATAATAATTACAATCTTCCTACATATATTAGAAGTGTTATGACAAGAGGTACATTTCATGTAATACGTTTATTGCATTTAGTGTACTGATTTCAATCTGCGCACTTTGTATTCTTTGGGCATAAATCCCGCTCGCTAAAAATGCTGTATATCCCAAACAGGTGGGATACACAAGAGACAACAAACTAAACAAAGAATACGAAATCAAAGTACAATAGTTGTATTTTGATATATTACATGGTTTACTATTCTTCTACATATATGTATTATATGAAATAACCACTAAGTCTTTTACACGCCCTAAGTAATCATTTTATGTAGATTATAATTTATGATGGCGCTACTTATTACAATGACAAATCGATTCAACTCACAATAATTTCATTAATATTAACAGTAAGAAGCTGAAATTATAACTCAATACTAATATAACATAAAGGCATGTAACACAGTAGTTGCGAGAAGATTACTCCCACTCCTTCTATTTTTTTTTTACTTCCGTGGCGTAAATCCCAGTGCGGCGTATTTGCCGGGTTTACCCTATGCATTATACCTATGTATAAGATATTATGCATAATTCATGGGAGATTGTGTTGAGATCCTTTTACACGACGAATGGAATATCATATTAGATATAAAAAAAGAAGGGTACAACACAACTTTTTTCGCGATTTTTCGGAGATCATTTTATTTCTATATTTTCTCATATATGTCTTTTTGTATTATATTTTTCTCATGTTTCATATTTTTCTCATGTCTTCATTGAAATAAAAAATTATCATAATAATGACATTACATTCAAAGAACATTGAAATAAAGAATAAAATCTTTATTTACAAAATCGTTGTTAATTATATACACATATATATAGGTATACAATAATAAAAAACTAATTCAGAGTTGTTGAATAGTGCAGTTGCATTCGATTTGACAAGAAAAATCTAATTAGAGCTATTTTTTTAATTATAGATACGATAACATCTTTTTGCCGTGATAGTAAAAATATAAATATTGAATCAATAATTCTGAATTAGTTTTTAAATGATTGAAGCATAACTGACAGCGATTTCGTAACAATGTGGATAAGAATTTTTGTTTTTATTTTAATATATCAATTTTTTCTTGAATGTAACGTCATTATTATGATAATTTTTGGTTTCTATGAAGAATACATAACAAGATATAGAAATAAGACAATCCTCGCGAAATAATCGCGAAAAAAGTGAAAGTTGTATCCTTCTTTGAAAAATTTTCCATTTTTGCTAAGAATAAATAAAGTCAAAACAAAAGATCTATGACGATTCGTAAATGTAACGACAAGTGAGGAACTAAGATATTTTATACGAAGATATTTTGCATCTTGAATAGAATATTGTAGATAAGAAGAATACTGATGCAGTGGAATATGTTTTACCAATCATGTTCGAGACACGCGCGAGTATCCGTTGCAGAATAGTAAGTTCGATTTTAGATAGTCAGTTTTTGATAAATAACAACGATACGGAGTCTTTGGACATTCGACAATTTGGGCTAATGCCAGCTTGCATTTCGTACTTTGGCAAGCTCATTGCGTGTTGAAGTATTCGAGTCATAAATCTCGCAGGGAAAACCCCATGCCTAATATCTTCCTTACGTTTTCGGCGTTGAGGTGATGGCAAAGGGTACCGCCCTTAGCTCGAAGCTGGAAAGCTGCGGAAATAATTACCTGTCGACTTTTAGCATACAACATGCCTGAATAAAACATTCGCCGGATGAAATATCGTCGTTGTTGCTCGCCGTTGCCGCGAGCACACAGTTTACACTGCCTTGCATGTTGCCTTACTTTGTCCTACTTTTCGCTCCGCCGAATATACAAGTAAAATCGAAATTTAATTCGCCACCGAAAGAGAACCTAGTAGTGGTTACTAGACGATTGAATTAACGGAGTTAAGAAGCTGTCGCATTGTTCTGAAGATCATAGTTGACACGAACCAAATTTAGAGGGAAAAATGAAATACCCAAATTAATTACATTCGATTATACGTGTTTGACCACTCAAAAAAGTGATCTTAGAGTTATAGCGAAAATTATCTAAGTACGAAAAATAGTTAAAATAGATAAATTTCTAGCAAGTTCTGTGATATTGGATATGTATTGCACCTAATCATATAGATGACAGAGATAGAATTTAGATTTGTGCTATAAATTCTATGCGTATGATACATAATTTTCTATCAGATACAAAAAACAGCTATAATTCTATAGTTGGAGCAGCAAAATATTTTTTTGCGTGATAAGAAAAATCTAATTAAAACTTTTTTATTATACGATAACATCTTTTTACTATAATAATAAAGATAGGATCAATATATATAACTCTGAATTAGTTTTTAAATTATTGAAACATAAGTGACAGCGATTTCGTAACGATGTGAATAAAGATTTTATTCTTTTTTTTTTCTTGAATGTAGCGTCATTATTATGATAATTTTTTATTTCCATGAAGAAAAATGCATAAGAAAATGAAACGACCCCCGAACGATCGGCAGTAATGTGAAAGTTGTAGTCTTCTTTGATTTAACATGATTCATTGTATCGTCAAATCCTATCTTATATAAAATAAGTGAAGATAATTCTTTAATAAAAACAAACATTTCGGAGTTATTTGCGTAACGAAATATGATATAAATTTTATTGTTTGCAATAGTTTAATTCGAAGCACAATATAAAACGGAATTAATTAAAAAATGACAATTATACTCACATTGCACTGTCCGACTTTACGAATATTGATTTTATGTTTACTATACGATTTGATAAATTTTCCCACTGAACGGTAAGGACGTGGTTGAACTTTGTAAAAGTTTTATCGTAATTTACTCGATCAAGTCACGGTAAGGAATATGGAACATATGTCACCAAGCAAGAAATTTCTGCGCTATGCACACGTGTCTGTCGTGGACACTGGTGTCTCGTGCAATAATGGAGAAACGATTTCGTGTTGCTTGCGCTCTTGCATCTGGCATCGTCATCGTGGCTTCCTTGCAGGGCTGGCATCATGTTAACGCTTACATTACAACACAATAGTTTATTACAAGAAATTAAAAAATTATTTCAAACAGAACGTATACTTGTTAAAAATAATTGAAAAATATGAAAGAGAGAAGAGATGTATAAAAAAAAATTCCAGTTTTTTAAACTGTGTAATAATTTAGGTAAAATTTATATAAAATGGAACAAAGGACTTGTTTCATTATATGTAGATTTCTATATTTCCAATTTAATAAATAAAAAGTGGAAACGTACAGAATATTTTCTGTAAAATAAATTAAAGATTACATATACACAATTATTTCGTGCTTTTTGATTCTAAAAACGAGAAAGAAAAATGTTTATAGGTACATAACTATATAAAATTATTTTTGTTCATGTATACATATACAATATGTATACAGGGTGTCCCAAAAAGGTCGGGACACCTAAATATCTCGGGAAATATATGTTTTACAGAAAAATGTTTCAGACAAAAGTTATATGGTTTAAAAATATCTATTTACTGATCCTATCAGTTTGACCTTGGGTTGCATATCCAAGATCAGGTCAAGATTATATTGATTTTCTTAAATGGAACACCCTATTTTTGATTCAAGAATCTAATAGTTGATGTCGAGAGCTTTCCAAAACGCTATAATGAAATATTTTTTCATGAAGTACTTTTCAAGTTATAATGCTTCAAAGTTACAGTATCGCCGGCATTAGCATTACCCAAAATATTTAATTTTGGAGACTGGCCAGTCAAGGCGAGATCAGTCGGTGGTCTGTGAATCTTGACCTTCAGTTAACGCACAAACAAAAACATAACGTAGGTGGTATTACATATCTTGGATAATGCTAGTGCCGGCGATACTGTAACTTTGAAGCATTATAACTTGAAAAGTACTTCATGAAAAAATATTTCATTATAGCGTTTTGGAAAGCTCTCGACATCAGCTATTAGATTTTTGAATAAAAAATAGGGTGTTTCATTTAAGAAAATCAATGTAACCTTGACCTGACCTTGGATATGCAACCCAAGGTCAAACTGATAGGATTAGTAAATAGATATTTTTAAACCATATAACTTTTGTCTGAAACACTTTTTTGTAAAACTTATATTTTCCGAGATATTTAGGTGTCCCGACCTTTTTGGGTATATGTGCTATCTGTAGTACATGTACATACATATACATGCATATATATACATATATATATACATATATAAATTCTATTTTGATATCAAAAATATATTCCAAAAACCTTTTTGTAGATATTTCGTAATATTTTATATAATAAATCAAACTGACACAAAAGAGATAAAAGTAATTGGACTTAAAGATACATTAAAGATAATATTATTAGTGTTAAATGTTTAAAATTCCAAAATAATAGATTGATCTTTTATTTGGACAAGTGATTATATTACTCATAAAATTTTTGTTCTGTTTCGGGCATTTTTATAGTATACAAATAAGTCACTTTATATATAAAACCTTTTGTCTGTACGTTACATTTTGCAAGACAGGACGAACCTCTTCGGTTATATTTGGTCGATCCATCGTACGCCGAAAGCAAGGAAAGCTCCTAAAACGATCCATCTTACAAAGCTTGACAGAGGAGTTCTTCCATACTGGATGTCGTGAAAAGCGACGTAATCTGAAGAGAGAAAGATATATATATATATATATATAAACAAAGGAAATCGCGCCTAGCATATCGAAAAATAATTTTACGACGGCTGAAAAATTCTCGATAAAGTTTATACTTTATACAAGCTTTATGCCCGTTTCTACCAATGTAAATTAAGTTCAATTTCGGTTCAGTTATTACTCTTTATTTTTTTCTAATTCTAAGAATTAGAAAAAGATGAAGAGTAAGTTGAACCGAGATTAAACTCAATTGCGGTAGAAAAACGGGCATTATTGGAATGTAATCAAAGTTAACGCTCCTTTTTTTAAGGATTAAAATTTATACGTAAAGATCTGCACGAAATGTAAATTTTTAGAATTTTCTATGGCTATATATTTCGTTCGGTAAAAAGTGGTGACTTCTCTTATATACAGAGGATGTTGTGCGATTTGGAGAATTAGGTACATCTCGCTTGAATGAATTTGAATATCTCTCGAGCAAAACTCTGATAAAGCAGAATATGCTCCTCTCTATATTACGGGTACAAGAAAGATCTATAAATAGATTTATAAATCATGCTTTCTGCTTGAGGAAGATCAAAGCCGCGAAGTGATACTCGTCTCGAGCGACGAATATCCATTATGGTTCACGAGTCGATATCAAGAACTTGCAATGATGTTGACTGAAACTTTTTCGCTATATTTATTGTGCTGAAATCGCGAATTGAAATTAAAAACGTAAATTAAGAGAAATAACATTGCGCCATTGTTTTGAAATTCAAAAGATATCACTTTAAGAATATTTTATTCTATACAATTCGACTATAATTATGAATATCTCACCACAAATCATTGTTAATGCAAAAATGGTTTAAAAATATCGTATAATCAATTAGTTATATTGTTCAATTTAAAATAATACTATTAATATATATATGTATATAACTTATAAATTTAACTGGAACTGATTACATAATATTTAAGACCTCAATAATGACATAATTTCGTGATTCGTGACATATTAATTCGTAATTCGACGTTCCTTAAATTCTTGTGGATATGTTCAGTAAAACGTTTTTTGAAACTTTAAGTAGTACCGCATTGACCTTCTAACCCCTTTTCTGTTCTCACCATTTAATTAAATGTTTCTCTGGTTGAATAAGATTGCTTCCATCCGGCACATCGGTCTAGGTATGCCACCCTTAAATTGTAAAAAGCGGGAAACTTCTGACGATGGAAACGGACCGGAAGCCCATTAACGGTTGGCGCGGAGCTATCCATCTTACGAAGTGACTGCTCGATAGATGCTGCGCGAGCGAAGGTGCAACAATGTCAAAAAAGAAAAAGTAGAAATGAGACTGAGATAATAAAAAAAGGAACATAAAATACACATGCCGGATTACTTCCGTCGTGCAATACAAGACTGGAATCCTATTATCATTTCGTCAATTGTCATCTGACGATTGCAGCTATTTATAAAAGAATTGACAAAATCATCAATAAATCCTAATATTTAATACAGCAATAAACCTGATGACAATTTTTCTATTACTTTAAAAGTAAAAGAAGTAATAATACCAGTTTTAGGGGAGAGTTGCCGAATGCATACCACTATTTTTTATTATATTTTTCATTTGGTATTGTTTTGTATGCAAACGAACATTAGAAATTGTAGCTTGAGGTTTTGGATGCTTATTATTACGTGTTTAACTTTCCACCAATAACAAATTAATTTGTTATAAGTCTTTTTGTAACATGCTGCTAAAGGTACGATTTAGGCGCAACCGGTCGCCTAAATCATATCTATATATAGGTATTTTTTCCTTTGAAAGTTTTGAATTTATGAATGAAAACAATTAAAAGTATAAGATTAATAAAAGAAATCACAAGAAGGCACGAACCGAACGACGACTACTACGCACTCCCCACTCCTCCATATTGCTCCCGTATTATAGTTCCTAAGTTTGCAGCGACGACGAGCGGATTTTTCAAACAATAATTATTAAATAACAATAATTATTAAATAACAATAATAAAAAACAAAATAAAATTGGCTTAAATATATTTTTGCACTTGACATTTATATTGATATCAATTATTAGTTTTATTATTGTCAGTTATCAGTTTTATCTTTTGATGGTTTAGGAAATTTGATGGATTTTGTAAAAATATTGATTTAATCTTTACAATGGTTGCAAATATATATATACAGTAAATGTAAAATATTCTACAATAAATCTTCTTTTATGAAAATACAAAAGTTTATAATAAAATTGGATAATCGCGTTGTTATCAGCAATATAAGTTGATTAAAAATTAATATCAGAGGTACCTGATTTTTTAAAATGCTTTTAACGTCCATAAGAGAAGGCGTAGGCTATTATATTTTTATCTATATTACTAATTTCTCACATATTTTATATTATTGTTACTATACAGGGTGTTTCCAAATTAAATCGCAAAACTTCGGGAGCGTGTAGAGGAGTAAAAAACTAAGAAAAAAAGTCCTATAGACATATGCTCGTTTTTGCTCCGTTTCAGAGAAATCGAAAAAAAATGTTTTTTTTACCTGCAAGATTAAATGGGGACCGTTTTCTAAATTTCTTGGAGAATGAATTTTCTGACTATTTAGAAAACATCCCATTACAACAACGTACTGAAATGTGGTTTCAATTAGATGGATGCCCTGCTCATTACAGCAGAGTCGCTAGAACCTGGTTAGATAGAAAATTCCCACAACGATGGATTGGACGTGGAGGAGCAGTACATTGGGCAACTCGTTCGCCCGACTTAACGCCATTAGATTTCTATGCATGGGGTACTCTGAAGCAAGAAGTTTATTCTTCGCCTATTCAATCAGAGCAACATTTGAGAAATCGTATCGTAGCTGCAGCGAACAGAATATCGCAAGAACAGTGCCTGGCTGCTACAAGAGCCGTGTTTGACAGATGCAATGCTTGTATTGCTGCAAGAGGTGCACATTTCGAACAAAATCTTCATTAAAAAGTTTATAAATAAAATAATTAAAATAATAAATTAAATATATTTTTTTCTTTTTTCGTGATTTCCTGCGAAACAAAGCAAAAAGGAGCATATGTCTATAGGACTTTTTTTCTTAGTTTTTTACTCCTCTACACGCTCCCGAAGTTTTGCCATTTAATTTGGAAACACCCTGTATATTAACTAATAATATAAAATATTGATGAGGTACGATTTAGGCGACCAGTACGCATTTGGCAACTCTCCCCTACAATAATTTTTTCTCAGATATTGCAAAAGTTCCTGAGAAATTTTATTTTCTAAATGGCACATAAGTCTTTCTCTTTTTCTCTTTCTCTCTTTCTATATAGGGGAGACCGGGGCTAGTAGACTCATTTTTCAGTTTCGAATTTTTACAGACGAAATTAAGAGATTTATCGAAAAAATGAATTCTACACCAGTTACTACATACATTTGACTATCTAATAATAATTTAATAATAAGAGGAAACTGATAACTAATTTGAAAAAAAAAAGCATTTTTCTAATGCATTCCATCTGGTTCAACTGTATCCTCGGGACCGGGATAAGGTGACTAATGGTATGGGGTAATTTGACTAAGATTATTAAAATGAAGATTAATGTATTTTAATCTACATCTTTGGCTTCATATTAATAAAATTTTTATAAAAATATATTTTAAACACAAACATTCGCTTCGCAGGGCAGAACAATACTTCTTTTTGCTAAATTCGTTCGTTTCGAGCAAAAATACGTCGAATATGAGCCTAGTTTTACCGAGATTGGACGTGAGGGAGCTAAATTTATAACATTTACCACTGAGGTAAATCTCTTTAAAGAAATGAAATATTGAGTAAGTACTATAAGAGTCGTCACTAAATGAGTCATACAGCCCCATGCTGTGGTTAGTCTTATATCTATCCCCATCCGTTCATTTTTTAAAAACATTAACAGTATACGATAACAAAGACAGATAAACAAAAAAAATCTATTGGACCTTATTAAGTAAGAACACTTACTATCTAAATAGAAATGAAATATCTCAGACAATCATATACGATTGTAAAACAAAAACTTTAAGAATAAAAGTATTTACTTAGAGAGGTGTACGATTTTTTAAAATTATACCGTAACTTCTATCATAAATGTGTTCGTAACGAGATATTACAGCAGACTGAGCGGCAGTCACTGCTGCGTGCTCAGACACGTTTACGCGTGTCTCGCGTATTTTGTTTTTAATGTAGCCTCGATTATTCTACTTACCCTATAGTCTACTGATCCCGGTCACCCCTATAGATTATACATATATATAAAATTTTAAAAACAAGAGCAAATAAGAGTTAATTAATCAAAGTTGTAACTTTAAAGCAGTTTACTTGAATAAGCCGTCTAATCCATTTTGCTTTTAAATTCTTCCTTGAATTTAATGTTGACTTTATTTTAAAACTTTATCAACTTTCTCATAATTCTTAGTAGTTAATAATTTTTAGTATTTAACTTTCAGTAGTTAATTTTGTAACTTTAGTAGTAAATGTTTTGTCACAAATTATAATTTTATGTTTAAGTACAATTTAATTCAAACTTTAAAAGTTTCATCTTTTCTGTCTTGTTTATATCTATTAATTTCATTTCAGAACTTTGTATGAATTTTTTATTTTTTTTATGTTATAAGTTTGATAAAATTTGAGCTTCATAACATTGGTATTTATAGCTTTAATTTGACTTATAACATTGGCATTTATAGAAAGAAATTACAGCAGTGTATTTTATGTATAATTAATATCCTAAAAAAAGAAAAAAAAGACAATTTAACGATGAATGTTAAGGTAACTTTTTTATTAAAAGATAAAAAATTAATTAATGCATAGTATGTTAAGATTCTATTCAAAGGGTTGTTGATTACATTCACTCATTTTGGACAGTTACGATAACTTGACCGGTTCATCCAGAGCTCCGACATGTTACTACAAACCCGACCTCGTCTCGCTAATTACATTACTGCCGTTACCAGTCTGTTTGCATCGAACAAGCGACGAGAATCGTTTCAGCTTGCATGACGATGTGATATGCAGTGGATAATGCACTGAATAATCTTGATCAGTTTCATCAATTCCTGATAAACTCACAACGTAATTTATTCAGATTAATATGTTTACCTCATTTATTCCTCTTGTGTTTATATTGAATTATATATATTCTCATCTTATACTTTATGCGAAAAAATATTATACAAAGTTATAACTGAATCTTTTTTTGTCTAGTGTAACCCCCATGCACAGAGATATTATAATAATGTAAATTATATAATATAATTAGTCCCTAATAAGATAATAGGTAAATGAAGAATTATAAAAAAAATAACGGTAGAATAAAATTGTAGATTAAAAATGTAAATAGATTTTTAAAATAAGGGTAAATATCTATTTCTTTAAATACATATGTATGAAATTTAAAAAATTGTTCAAATAAAATAATTAATTCATCATATCCTACGTAAAAATTGTCAACATTATTTAACTGGCCGAACATTGGCCCAGTATCAGTAGCCAATATTGGGCCAGTACAGGTTTAACACAGGAGTGTAACACTACGCCGTGCTTCATCGCGCCAGTGTCGACAGACAATCTTGTCCCAATACTGAATGACAAACAAGTAACAAACCGTATGCGGGCCAGTACTAGTTAAAAAACAGGCCAAGCTCTGGCTGCTAGACAGACCGAGCTCTGGCTGCTAGACAGACCGAGCTCTGGCTAATAGCCGGGCCATATGTGGACCAGTATTGGTTGCGAAAC